AGCTTGTTAGGAAATATATATATATATATATATATATATACACATTTCCCATCATTTCACATAAGTTCAGAGAGAAGTAACTTTCGCTGGAAAAAAAAAAAAAAGGAGCACAAGTTCCTTTTGAAGAAATTTGAAAAAGTTTAAGTTCTCATCTTAATCCAGTTCATCATCTTTTCTGTGGGACACCCTCCATGACATGGTGCTGACCTGTGTCAGCTGCAAACCCAAGTGTACACTGAACACTAACCCTGAAAGGTAAGGTCAGAGGAGAAGACACACCTCCAAACCCCACTGCTTGCCACTACAAAGTGGGACCTGAACTCTGGCCAGGGGCCTCCCCTGTGTCTGCACGCTCCCCACCTGGGGCATGGTGGGCTTCTCAGAGGGCAGGGCACTGCGATCAATGAAGGGAGATGCTAGCCAGGCCTGAAACCCCAGGGCTGGGTTTTCAACTCCAAACAGGCTAGCTCCATGTACCCTCACTCCCCATAGTGGACCCCAGCAAGAGACATTTTCACTCCTTGTGCACAGAGAGGGGATTGCATCATCAGCGGATGGCTAGCAGTTCCGTTGCTAGACTCCCACATGGCAGACTGTGATTGGAGTCCCTGACCCGGTGGCTTGAAACTCATTCTGGATACCTGTGTCTACGTGCCCAAGATCACTGGGAGGAAATGGAGAGGGGATTGCTATGTGGCCACCCCCCCCACACACACCAGGGGTGATTTCTCACTTTCCCTTTCACTGTCTCTGTCTCCCTCTGCACCCCCTCCACAACGCAGGCGCCCTAAAGGCAAAACCTCTTAAAAAAAAAAGGTCCACATGATTTCCAATCTGACCTTTTAATTTGGGGGAAGCCCTATGGGGTGCTGGGATACTGGGATACAGGTCTAGAGGTCCACGCTGTGCAAAGAATCACTCCAAATCTCGACGCACCCTTTTAAGAGACAAGCTGGGAATGGCCAGCCCGCACATATCCAGGAGCGCAGGAAGCCAGAGGGACCTCGGGGAGGCGTCATTGGTCGCCCGTCGCGTCCCAGCTGGGCAGCTCAGCCAGCTCACTCTCCTCCCGGGCGCGCTGCCGGTTGCGTGCAAAGCTTGGCGCGGCCGCGGGACCCGCCCCCGCCTCCGCTCCAGCTCCCGCCCGGCGCAGGTAAACAGCCGCCAGCCTCCCGCCCGCCAGCCTGGGGACCCACCCCCGGCGCCACGCCCGGCGCCCCGGGGAGGCCGAGGCCAGCAGAGAACGTGCGCCCGCGCAGGCAGCCCAACCTCACCTGGGCCTGGGCGGGTCGGGCAGAGTCGGATAGCACCTGCCGGCTGGGCTGGGCGTGCCCAGACACAAGGCAGGTGAAGGCCTGTGTGTGGCCTACGGGTCAAGCCGGCCGGGCTCAGGGCTGCGAAGGAAAACTTCGGGAACTGTGCATACACCCTGCAGATCTGCGCCTTGCCACACGCACGGTAGGTTATCCGCAATCTCAAAGGCGAGGAAGAGCTGCTCTAGGCGCCCACCTGCCTCCAGCTCGCGCGGGTTCAGCCAGCGTTTATCCCTGAAGGCCTGTGTGTGGCCTACGGGTCAAGCCGGCCGGGCTCAGGGCTGCGAAGGAAAACTTCGGGAACTGTGCATACACCCTGCAGATCTGCGCCTTGCCACACGCACGGTAGGTTATCCGCAATCTCAAAGGCGAGGAAGAGCTGCTCTAGGCGCCCACCTGCCTCCAGCTCGCGCGGGTTCAGCCAGCGTTTATCCCTGGGCGGAGGCATGCAGGATCTTGAGCCCGGAAGCTGGAAGCCGTGGGCGGGAGGTCCTCAGTTTCAGCCAACCCCGTAAGGCCTAGCAGCCTTTGGCGATTGACACCTCTGGACCTCACCCTCGTGGGTAAAATGGGGACAGTAATACTGGGCTCAAAGGGAATTCGAGGAAGTGGCGAGAGCGCAGAGCACCCTGCTCCATGCGGTGGGAGCCTGGGTAACGGCCTCCCCTCCGGGCCTTCCCCAGCACAGCAGGCGGGCAATCTCCTGTTAGGGCCCCAGAGAGGAGCCAGAGGCTGACGCTCACTCCTGCTGTCCTGCTTGTCATCAGTCACCTGCAGTGAAGGGCCCAGCAGGGCACGGCCTGGAGGGAACACGGTTTCTGCCATCCCACCGCCACGGACCCAGGTCTGGCCCGCAGCCCTGTGAAGCTATGCCAAGCAGCTCCTTAAAGGACACTGGGGAGCTCAGGTCTCCAGATGATTAGCTCAAGGAAGACACAGTGGCATGGTGGTTAAGGGTGCTGGACTCCCACATGGCCAACCGTGGTTTGAGTCCTGGACCTGGTGGCTTGCTTTCTCACTTTCCCTCTCTCTCACTCTGTCTCTCTCTGGTCAAACTTAAATAAATAAATAAAGGTAAAGAATTCTTTTTAAAAAAATTTAAAAAAAAAAAAGGAAGACACTGGAACCTAAGGCTTTCCATGCCTGTTCACCCATATTCTCTTTTCTTGTGTGTGCAATGTAACTTAGATTTTTATTTATTTAGTTATCTATTTATTTAGCTTAGTTATCTATTATTTAGTTCATTTAGTTATCTATTTAGTCAGAGGGCACATGCGCTGGCAGGAGACAGAGAGGAAAAGGAAAGCACCTCCCCCCATGGGACGGTCACTCTGCAATCCCTTCTCCTCCATTTCTCCCTCCTTTTGGGGTTTTGGGCATGCACGCACACATGCCAGCATGGTTTTCAAGCCACTGGGTCTGAGATGCAAACCATGTGGTTGGCCATCTGGGAACCAGGTGCCCTCGCCACCATGCCATGGGCTGGCCCAATTCAGATTTCTTGGATGACTTTCTGTCTAGATCATTTCTCCAGTGCTGGGAATGGGGGATCAAAGTCTCTCTCACTCCCCTTCAGATCTAATAATATTTGCTTTTTATATTTGGGTCAATATCCCCTTAACTTCTTTCGTCCATACAATGAGAAAACCGGAAACCAAAAGTAAAATCCAATCCCAAGGATTGACTGAGTTTCGACACTGGTTACAATAATAGCCTTTCCAAAGAAAATTGGAGCATGAATCAGGATGGGGTAGGACTCAGAGAGCGGGGATGGAAATATATGGGAGGGTTTGAAAAACTCAAAAGTCTTCTGAATCATCAAGTCTCAAAGAGCCTCTTTTGCCAGTGGAAACCCCCTCTCCTCCTGCCTTCGCAAGCACTTCCTGAGGACAGTGTACATTTTTGCCTCCTTTGTAGGACTCGTGCTGCAGGAGAGAACCAGTTCTCCATGCACCCTCCGAGTCTCCAGAGCTGACAGAGCATACTAGCATACTTTAGGAGGGGCAAGCACAGTCCAGCCAGAGAGAAGGAAAATTAGAAACCAACATAATTTCAGGATATGTATTTATAAATTTGAGGGAAATATGTGTTGGGATGGGTTTTTACAGAGTTTCATAATGGATGAGAGAATATTGCTTTAAATTGACCCGAGTTATTGATCTTGATATTTATTAGAGACACTCTTTGTTTTGTCTAAAGACACTCTGTTTTGTTTTGTTTTGTTTTGTTTTCTATAGGGCATGTGCACTTGCTGAGGAGACAAAGGGAAAGTGAGAAAGCATCCCACCCAGGGGGATGGCCACACCACAATCCCTTCTCCTTCATTCTCCCCCATTTGGGGTTTTGGGCATGCACATTCATGTACCCAGCATGTTTTTCAAGCTCTTGGGTTTAGGACTCAAACTGAACAGTCAGTCATGTGGAATCCAGCCGCCTTAACCAACACACCACCAGCTGGCCCCTAGATTCTGGATTTATTGTGCTAGCATGAGAAGCTGGGAGTCACTTTGAAACCTCAGTCATTGGCCATCAGGAGATTATCCTTAATGTAGTAGGTGTCGTCTGTGACTTGAGCTATCCATCATGTGCTGGGTCATCTAACACACTCATAAAATCCCATTACCAGTTGCAAGTGGTAGGTATGGGATGGGACCTGACTAGGTCCCAAAGACATGAGGAAGTTGTATGTGCAGGTAGCTTATGCCCTGACGCCTTCATCAACCCAACAATGGCCATGAGGGGAATCTTCCAAGAACCAGTGACCAAGAAAGGAAAAACCACTGAGCCCAGTTTATGGGTGGCTGTGTGTGACATGCTGGCCCAGTGTACAAACAGACAGCTGTGATGTTGTTTCTCTCCATTTATCACGCATGGGGGCATGATTATGGTTAACTTTGCACCTGAGCTCAAAGACGCTAGAAAAATCAGATGGGATTTAGAGTCAACTGAAGGAGACATTGTGGGCATTGCTGAGACCTGAGGACAGGAACTGACAAAGCAGTGGGGTAGCTCCATTTAGAAAGGAGATGAATGGAGGTTGGATTGTGTGAGGAATCATTACATTTTCTAAGCTGAAAGGTGTTTAAAAGTGAAAACGGGAATTAGAGTATATGTTGATGTGGAGTGGCAAAAGAATGAAACTGTGATCAGCTTAATGCAATCCAAACTAGCTCACGGGGATAGGACCTAAGCTCTAACAGCTGCTGTTTCCATCCAGAACTCTGAATATGGGGCCAGGTCATTTCAAGGCTCATTTTCAGAACGGATGTGGCAGCAGTTTCAGCAGCAGTGTCCAGTGCCTAGGGACCAGCACAGGGGACCGTGGCACCCTGTGTTCTTCAGAGTGACTGGAACCAAGCTGTTCTTTAGGTGTGATTGGGTGATGACCCTAGACTGCTGGCTTTCTTGGATCAGACCCATTTTAAAGCCTGGTTCTCATACAGATACTGTGAGTTTCCTAATAGCCTTCCATTAATTTTCTTTTCTGTCAAGTAGACTGGGGTTAGATGCTGGGTTCTTTTTTTTTTTTTTCAACCAAGACTCTGACTGGTCCTTCTTGTCCAAGTGCTTTCCTTTGCTTCTACTGGCACTGGGTAGGGCAGATGATGGTTCCAACCTTAGCTCGCTCCAATAATCCCATCCTTGGGTGGAAGAAGCTTTGAGTAGGAATACACGTGATGCAGATCATCCGCAACAATATCCCCTTTAATGATATATTAATCACAGTTATGAGGTCTTGGCCATCAGAAAGAACAATTTGCATTAGGTAGAACTACCCACAATGACATAAAATAAAACATACATAAACCAACCACCAAACCAGTTCATCTCAACCAATCAAACCTCTGAATGTGTCTTCAACTTGATCATCAGTGCTTTGGAAGACCATACATGAACCCAGCCCAAGGTTGGCGTTTGGGCTCTTAGAGCATTCAGAGGGTAGGATTTACCCTTGGAAGCAATTAAACATGTAAACTTAGAAAACAGGCGTTGATAACACAATGCCTAGCTATCTGGCTCCTGGGCTGGTGCCTTCTCAGTGGAGCCCACTCAGAGTCCGGTATTCCTTGACTACTGAAGATGGCAGGCCCTAGCTGTTTTTGAAGCAAACAGGTCAGATCAACCCGGCTGGAGAAGCTACGTGTATGAAGGAGTAATCGGTTTCTAATGTAGCTCAAGTTATTTTTTAGGTCACTTCTGAATGTCAGCTTGGCTAAAATGGACTTTAAAGGGGAAATGAGAATGGATCTCTTCTTTTTCTGTCCCTTTTTCCTTTCCCATCATAAGCCCTCCAGCCAGACTCCAGTAAAGCCTTTTGCAGCTCAAGAGTGCATGGTCAGGTTTCAAGTTACCAAAGGGTCAACTGGAAGGACCCACTGCAGATTCCAAAGGTCTTTCATTCACTCACATTAACTGAAGCGGGTCCCTCCACTGGTAAAAGAAGGGCTTGGGTTCTAGCGATTTGCTGGTATCTCCATGTCTCTTCAGAAAATCCAGACTATAAACTTAGCAAAACAATGGCCCAGGGGACTTGGTAACCATGACAAGCCACTTTGTTCTTGGGATCCAGGAACAAGGCATCTCTCATCAAAGCCATACTCTGTCCTCTTCGCAGGACTCACTGCTTATCCACGATCGTCTGACTCCCTAATTCCCTTATTTCAATAATAGCGATATTTGCCTAAAAAAAGAAAGAACTAGGCTATCCTTCCCTTTGTCTGCACCTCCCTCCCTTCTCCCTTACTGTGTCTCTCCAGGGAGGTAGAGGAAGGCATATTTCTCCTGCTGGGGCTGGCTTGGCCGTGGGAAGTAGGTGGCCCGTCCTGCACCCCGGCATTCCAGACGGGCAGGTGGTCAGCGGGGAGGGAACAGGAGAGGCGGATGAGAGACGTACGGGCCATTCTGCGCCGAGTCGCCACCCAAGGTACTCAGGAGACTTCTCTGGGTAGCTCGCTTCCGTGGGTGACCTTGAGGAGTTGCCATGGAATCTAGTGAAGGAGATGAAGGCACGGAAGTAGATTTCTCTGATCTGTACGTCCTTGAGAATCTCACTGGTTCCATTCAGTGGCCAAAACAAAAACTCATAGTTCCATGACTCCTTGAAATTCCAAATAAAGCCAATATCTCCCTCAAAAGCAAAAGTAAAAAATTGTCATTTTATAATCAGAGTCAATCAGGACAATGAGATGAAGAGGAGAGGAAGGAAAAATGTTTTAATGGGAGGAGGCGTGTGGTCCCGTCGAAGCCAATCACTTCCATTTCCTCGTGCTGCCTTTCGGGAGTCCCAGGCATTCTGGGCGCTACCCCAAGCCAACATCCAGTGACATCATGACTACAAATCCCAGGATGGAGGCCCAGGACGCCAGCTTCCCGTTACCACTAGGAGGAAAGAGAAGAGGAAAAAGAAGACCTTAATGCCTCCTGAAACCATGCCCAAATAGAAAGCATCTTTGCAACATCCAATTTACAACAGAAAATAAACTACCACTGATATGATAACATTTATGGAAGCTGACTACATGCCAGGCCAATGGATTAGCTCATTTCATCCCAAATAACAACCTCACGAGGTCAGTGTCATTAGTATCCCCAGGGCACTGGTGGGGAAACTGAGGCCCAGAGAAGTAAGGAACTTGCCCAAGAGCATCGATTATGGCCCTGGAGTCCATGCTTGAGTGATAGAGTTCAAGGGCGATGATGTCTTACAGATCTTATTTCATCTGACCTTGTATCCTAGTCTCAAAAGTATTCTACTCTAACAACCAAAGTGAAACAGAGCGAGCCCAAACCCCCCTCCCTGCCCCTACCCACAAGCCCTGGCCCGTAGCCAGACATTGAGAACTGGCATTGATCATTTTGGCTGATGTTTTAGATATCCTTTCTCCCTTCATTCCAGCCCCAGAAAGTCTAAAGAGGAAGAGAGAGAGACAACATACGAAAATGAAAGTCTACTTTTAGCGCCGTTGAGGAGGGGGTGGGATGATCTTGGGAAGGAGTACGAAGGGGTGAGACTAAGGGAAGGAGAGGGGGAGGGAGAAGGAGCAGACCCGGAGGCTGGGCCTCAGGCCTGCTAAGACAGGGGCAAGCAGGAAGGAGGGTGCGCTCCCACCTGATCTGGGCTTCAGGGATGATGTCATCCATGACCACGTAGACCATGGCTCCCGCAGCAAAGGCCAGAGCGTACGGCAGGATGGGCTCAGCCAGGACCACGGCAAAGGCACCGAAGACCCCGGCCAGGGGCTCCACCATGCCACTGAGCTGCCCGTACCTAGGGAGAGGGCAGAGACACGTGCCACTGCAGGAGCGCCCGGCAGCCATGCCACACGCCCAGACTGTTGACTCGACCCTGGAAAACGAGTGCATCTCGTCCCACCTCATCTCCGAGCATGGCCGGGCAAAAGCACCTCCTTGCTTCTCAACCACCTCCCATGAAACAGTTACAGTACACCCCCGCCCCCGGTTACCTTTAGACCACTCAGTTTCCCACATTATCTTTTGGAAACAGCAGCATTATTGAGACCTAATTCTCATACGCTAGGACAAGCTCATTTCGTGCACACAGCTGGGTGGTTTTAGCACATTTGCAGCCATCACCGGCATCTCGTTCCAGACATTTCCATCGGCCCCGAAAGGAACCCCAAAGGCTGTAGCAGCCACTCCCTCCTCTCCCTCCTCACCACCCCTGGTAACCACGCCTCTATTTTTTTCTTTATGGATTTGCCTCTTCTTAGATATTTCATATAAATGGAATCATATAATCTGTGGCCCTTTTCAACTGGCTCATTTCACTCAGCATAACAGTTTCGAGGTGTATCTGTGTTGTAGCAGGTGTCAAGTCACCCCTTTTTAGGAAAGAACATTCCCTGTACGACTGTCCCCGTGTTACATATCCACTCATCCCCGGATGCCTGCATTGTCCTTGAGCGACAGGACACTGATCGGGGATGGTATGGGCATTTCCCAAAGACAGCTGTGCCTGGCGCATCTGGGAGTTCAGCTGCAAGTGCACCCCTTTCGAAGGGGCAGCACCCCTCTACCTCAGCAGAAGAGGTGGGCCTCTCTGGCCATCCGTGTACCGACAGCCTGTTCCCTCCACACTCCCATCTTGGATTAAGGTAAGATTTCTTTAAAAAAAGAAAATGCCTTAATTTGAGCTGTAAGAATGGGTCTCTGCTGCTTGACATCAAAGCGGTTCTGACGGAACTGCAGCACACGTGAGCCTTGAGAGTTGAGGGCAGGAGCCGGTACCTGAGTCCCAAGTCTCTGCACTCTGCAGATGAGACACCTGCTACAGGTGGGAGGCCCGTAGACAGGGAGTTGGGACACCCTTCTCACTGTTCCTTGCATGGGCGTTTGGCAATCTATGCCGCCTCTGAGCCCCAGTCCCTCCGTCTGTAAAATGATGAGAGACACCTTCTTGCCCAGCCTACCAGATGCCAGGACTGTAATAGGGGCTCCCACTTGCATGGCTTCTCCCAGCCACAGCCAGCCAGAGAGCAGGAAGGAAAGACTAATTTTGCTACGGGCTCCTCTAAGGGGCCAGGCTCCTGGCTCCCTATGCTTTTGTGACAGGCTGGCAGAACAGGCAGCTCTTTGGTTTGTACAATTCCTGCCCCTGGTGGTGGTGGGAGAAGAATCTCTAAGACCATTTTGCTCTGTCCGCCCCAAATCCTCTGTTCCATAGACTCCAACAATGGAGAAAGAGAAAACAGAGGGTGAAATAAAATAGGGTAAGCACGTGCAAAAATGTGTGAGTCATAAGGCCCTAAGGAGCAGAAGGCATTTTTAAACTGTTACCAGCCATTCTTTCGAATGTTCTTACCATACCTTCCAGAGCACTGACTGTTTTCATCAAGAAGTGTTCTAAGGCTTGGGGTCCTGAGTGGAGAGGCAAAAAGCCTTTGGTCTAATCAGACCTCTGGTCTTGGAGTCACCACTGATGACCAAGGTGACTTGAGCTGGCCATCTGACTCCTGGGCCATAGCTCCCTCCTCTGAAAAACAGGGCTCCTCATTGGTGTTGGAAGGGTACAGTTAGGGAATAGCCTAGAAAGTCATTTGGGAGGGACCAGCAGTTGGCATAATGGCTATGTCACTGGACTCCCATGTAGCTGACCACGGTTCAAGTCCCAGACCTGGTAGCTTAAACTCACGCCAGGCGTGTGTGCATGTGTGTCCAAGATCCCAAGAGGAGAATGGAGGAGAAGGAATTGTGGTGTGGCCATCCCCCTGGGGGGTGATTTGTCACTTTTTGACTCTCTCTGTCTTTCTGGTGAGCACATGCACCCTATAGCAAAAACCTCTCAAAAAAAAAATAAATAAATAAAGGAAAAAGAAAAAGAAAGTGATGTAGGGAAGATGAAAACACTAGGTATGAGTCTAGTGTTCACCATCAACCCTGGTGCTGCCGACATGTCCTGACCTCCATGGTCACAGACCAGAGGTGTAAGAAGAGCTACCGTAACACTCGGGGGCAGATGGTGGTGGCGTGAGTAGAAGTTAAGGCAAGTGGCATGAGAACAGACATATCTGAGAAGGAGCAAACCTAACGCTGCGTAGGCATTGGCCATTTTGAAAGAGGAACCACCACCATTTGAGCTGGCTCATATAGACTGAAGATCAGGAGACAAGCCATGCCTCGCTCTCCCAGCCTCAGGAATGCAAGAGTCCCCTGGGCTATCTGTTTTACCAGAAGCCCCGCAGTCACAGTGGAGTCCGAAGATGTGCTTGCAGAAAGAAGCCAGCTTATGTCAGACACAACCCTGAGCTCTGGCAGCCGATGGACTGAGCACTCACCAGAAAGCTCTCCAGGTGGAGAAGCCTGCACCCCGCAAGGGGAGGCTGACAGCCAGGCCCTCCGGGAAGTTCTGGATCCCAATTCCAATGGCCAAGTTCCTGAAAGACCAAGAAGGGACATGAGGGCTGTGGTTTAGAACTAAGTACCCATGCAAATGAGAGCCCTGGCCTGGGCCCGAAGCCCTCCTTTGGTACTTGGAAGCCAGGTGGAGACCTGTGGCAGGTGGAGAAAGGAGAAAGGTTGGGCGGGTGTGTGGGTGGACAGCACAAGCTGCAGGAGGGGTGGCAGGGATCCTGCACCCCGTCATCCTAGCCTGGGGCCCTGGGGTGCTCTATCTTCATGGTCCTCCAGTGCAGGGGATGAGAGGCTGGCTGGCTCCCGGGATGCTCGAGTTCTGCCACGTGGCCGTAAGTCTCTGCACACACATCATTTCATCCTCCAGCCTCGTTCCTTACAGACAGCGCAGTGGGGGGGGGGATAACACCCACCCTGGCAGACTGCCATGTAACCTACGGACTGGATAATGCCCCGAAGTTCCCCACATGTACAAGGGCCCCCGTGCATTTGGCTGTATTTTCTTGTGGTACAAAGATAGCTACGTCACACTTTATCCAGAAGCAACTTGGGAAACGGAACAAGGCAGTATAGATGCAAAATCTGACTACGACATGGATCCAGCCTAGGGCTCGGCTTTCGTGCAGGGCTTGTCCCCATGGCCTGACGTGATCACTGCATTTCCATGGGCCCCTGCCTCTGCAGGACATGGGCTGAGCTACATGAATGGGTCGCTAGCCGTTGCACATCTCTGAGAGCCTGCCTTTGCATGAGCCACGGGCAGGAGCGCAAAGGGCAGGAGAAGCAGAGTGAGGCAGGTGCAAATGCCACATGTGACCCTGGGGCTGGCCTGGTCGGTATTTACAGTTCAGCAAGAGAGACAAGACACGCATATAAATGATTACTCATTGTGCATGCTGCAAACTCCCCAGCTGAACGTCACCTTGCAGAGGAATCAGAGACACAAAGAGAGGGAAAGGGGTGAGTCTGAGCTCCACAGGAAGGCAGCCCCAGAGTACCTCCCCAGATGGAGGGAGAGGGCCGGCGGGTAGCCCTTCCACACAGGGCCCATCTGATCAACAAAGATTTGAGGGAGGGTAGAGGCTGCTGCTTGGCCAGCAAGGCCGGCAAGTGGCCTGAGGGAGTTGACTGGACTAGATGGGAAAAAGGAACCCCCACTGTCAGCAGGCTTTCTGGTCAGCTGGCTCACCTCCGTGTCCTCACTGCCACTATGATGCCCATTGGCTCCGGACAGAGATAGGGGAGGGCTGAAAACCAGCGGCTGGGCTCCATCCTGACCCCCCCCCACACACCCACCTTGGCCACCTTGAGGGTTCCAGGCTAATCCAGGCCATGGCCCCTTGTTCCAGTCCCTGGCAAAAAAACACCCAGGATAATTCCCAGGACTTGACGCTTCATCTTATTCGGTGGCTTGTACCTGAACCTGTGTCCGCCTTTATCCCCCCAACTCATGCACACATGCTCCAGGTGGGGCTCACAACTCCAGACACCTTTGGAAGGGGGAGCCCCTGCCCGGGTGGCTGCCAGGTCAAGGAAACTGCTAGGAAACGACTGTCCTTAACAGAAGCTGCGCCTGTAAACACTGAGCTCCGCGTGGTTCTTTTCACTAACCCCCCTCCTGTGCTTTCTTGACAGCTTTGCAGTGTTTTCCGACATCCAACCGTCATCAGAGTGCTGGCGTCTAAAGGCTATGACTAGTTCCTTCTTCAAGGAAAATGCCCCGAAAACCTGTGCATTACAGGGCCTTAGGGCCTGCAGGGCCGTGGCGCCTTTCTCTCCAAGGTTCAGGCAGCCCAGCCCATAACGAGCAGACGCCCCACCCTGCCCGCACGAGGGGCCCTGGCCGTATCACTCAGCACCTGTGACCTCTCCCGTGAGCTTCCCCAACTCTGTCGGGTTACCTAAGGGGCTTCTCTACGCCCCAGGGAGGGTCAGACTTGCTCTAATCTCATTCCATGATCTGCTTCTTGCCAACACTCATCAGCCCCTGCCCTGCCTTGTGGGACAAGCCATCCCTGTAGACCCTTTCCTTGAACCTTGTTCAGCACCCTCTTGCTACCCCCAAAATGGCTGAGCAAAAACAACCTGCAAGGCCCAGTCTCTGGTTTCTTTCCAATGAGGAAGGTCAAGACATCTGAGCAGGTCTCATGGCCCTGGCTGGTGTGGAGACAATGCGAGGTGGCTGACACGCAGTCCACGGCCGTGGCCTGTCCCCGTGTTCACAGGGCACCAGCTCACCTCAGGTGTAAGCATGGAGTCATCAGCCCTCTATCCCCACTGCAAGCAGAGGTGGGGCTCCCTGTCCAAAGTCCTCGCCATGACGCAGAGAGGCTGCAGCCGCCCGTCAGGCGGGC